AGGGTATTGCAATAAAATTCACCTCGATTAGCACCTCGTTCTCGCACATAAATATGTTTTCAATTACGCGTTTGAATAATAAAATTTTTCATTTGATAATTATACATTCTTGAGAAGAGCCTGACGATGTAAGATACGCGGAATTGATGCCATTAAATGCGAAAATACGTCGCGGGAGTGACGTAAATCATTCCCGTGGCCGATGGCGTTCATTGTCCGATAAGTTAGCGTCCAAACACGGGCATTGCCCATTTACGTAACGCAGGGTATTATTTCTCCCCAAAGTTCTGTTTTGTTTTAAACTTTGCACGTAATTTCTCGCAGCATATGGCATACCAAGCGATTGTAATGAGATTCAACGATGCAAGAAACAAACGTGGCATATTTTGATGTCTCTCTCTCTCTCTTTCTCTCTCAGATATATTCTTAGGTTTCTTTGCACGTTCCCTTTCAGCTTTAGAAAGATCTATGTGTATACATATAAACGTACATTTTTTTGTGACTAGCGTATATCGATACAAACACAAATTTTCTTTGTACTAATTTTTCTTTGTACGAGCTTAATCTCCTTAAAGATTACGCGAGGAAGTTCGCGAGATTTCGTAAGACTAAGCTGTCTTACGCGGTACATTGCTTTCCTGACGGCGCTAATGATAGAATAGAAGGAAAGTTTCGTTTATGTTAAGCAAGAATGAATGCGAATACAGCGACTGTTACAACTCATCTCAGCGCAAAGACTTGCCTGAAAAGACTTATTTCTCATGTCATGTGAAATTAAATTCTGCATCTTAATGTCCCTGTGCACCAATACATCTCTAAATGTATAAATCCTCATTTTATTTGCTAATGATTATCTGGGCAAAAGCATGGGGTAAATATACGCAGTTATTTTAACGACACTTAAGAATCCTATTTTAATGGCTTTTCTATGGTCATATACTGCGCAATCGCTGAAAGCGGTTTATGAAGGTTAATACAAGAATTCGTACTCGGATATTTTCTGCTATCATTATTACTAGCACAAGGCCTTCATCTTTTTGCAATAAAACTTCGACGAAATTTTTCTTTTACCTGGCCCTAATGACACGTTACAGCGAAGTAGTTAACTTCGTGTTAGAAAGACTGGTTTTTATTTTTATTTTAATCCACGCAAATTGGTTTTACTACTACAGTATGTGGAAGTCGTTAAAGTTAAAAGAATTTTTACAGTTTGCAGATAAATGTGATGATAATTTAAACAACTGACAGTGTGAAAGGTGCATCCTGTTTTGCTGGATCTACATATTTGATAAAATTCGCAATTACAAAATGAAAAATTTTATACGCTTTATTCATGAATAATTTACAGAAAGAGCAATTGATATTATTGAGTTATTAAGAACAGATTTATTACGTAGAAACAATTAACAAAGGTTATTGGAAATGTACGTAATGACACAAGTATCTTTCCAACTTTTTATCTTCAATTTCCGGTTGAGCAGCTCGAATAAAAGCTGTAGCCTCTATTTGAAAATTGCTATGTCACATTTGTATGAGGACTTAGGAATTTATGCTCATTGTCAGTATCAGTCATATTAATTTCTTCTATTAAAAACAAATTGTAAATAGACGGAAATAATTTGTTCCGGCAATCGAATGCTATTAATTTTTTTCTGAGTATTTTACGTTTATATGGAGAGAGATAGAACTATTATATATTGTAACTTTCCATAAAGGAGACTTTGTTCGTTAAACGTCAACACCTTGCATAATTTGTTACATTACGTATTTTACTATGTAAAACGCAATTGAAATTTCTGTAAAATAATATTTGTTTGAACTTTAGGTTTTTTATTTAGTTTCGTTTTTATCAAAATTTTGTTATTTCTTTTTTTCTAGGAAACTTACTAAACTCATTGTTAGAAATTCAGAAGTCAATATATCGCAATAGCCGTATATTTACAATAAAATCTGTCCAAGCGATATTACGTTTAAGTGTAAAAATTTGAAGGAAATATAAAATGTAGGAAACTCAGAAAATGATAAAAAGGATCTTATAATTTGTGTAACAATTGTAAGTGAGTTATTATAGTTGTAATTTGTAATATGTTGCTAAAATTGCTTTACGATAAATAAATTGAAATAACTTCTCAAAATTTTATGTCTGCTCGTAATTCGACGATTTTTACACAGCTTTAGGTGTTTTTATTTAATAAATATTTTGAAGAAGTGATCGAGAGTTTACACTTTAAGTAATAATTTAACACTTATCACTTAGCAATTTAATAATTTAACAATTTTCATATTTTTGCACTTAAAATAATCGTATTAGTTAAAATAAAATAATTCAGTTAGTTAAAATTCACGTAAATTCTTATCATTTAGCTTTTACGTTAAAATAGTCTAACGTAATTTATGCTATTGACTGCACTTTTATTAATCTCCATCGCGGTAAATCTTCTATATACGAGATTATCTATATGATCTTCTTGACTGATGTGACACTTTTAACCTTTAGCTGGCACACTTTTTTTGTTTTAACGTGTGGGAATCATTAACTACTGGGAACCCTTACCGAAGTCAGGATTACCCAGTAGCCCCCCGTTTGACAGGGGGGAAGACCCCCTCGTTCTCCTGGTCGAGGAACGAGGGGAGTGCCGGATTCTTACCGGCTAAAACCACACGGATGCCAACGCTGCGCCTGACTGAGAGTGCCTGGGAACTCTTGACAAATACATCCAGGACATTAGCTGGCACACTTCACCAGAATCACATAGCTGGCACACTGCAGGGGCCGTTTCAGACCCCACCACTAAAATGCTTGCTGCAAAGAAGCTATTGGTTTTTTTTACTTAAAAAAAATTCCAAGATAGTCTTCGAGTGTTGTTTTAACAAATGTCATTTTGATAAAATGTAATATTAAGTATGAAAAAAATTGGAGAACGTAAAAGAAAACGAAAAAATGACTGTTTTTACTCAAGAATTCATAACTCTTATATTTTAACTCTTCCATTTTTTCTAGTTACCATTTTTGTACTATATAGGGGGGCTTAAATTAGAGCTGAACTAGGCTGGGGCGTTTAATACCCCACAGTGCCAGCTAAGGGTTAAAAACGTTCTTCAATTATTACTAATTATTTTATCACCGAGCCTCCGTTGATATCCGTTGATACTGACATCGAGAAAAGTGTTTCTTCAGGTAGCGACCGCAAAATATTTATAACGCTTAATACTTATTCTCGTTTACTAAATCGCTTAATCGAGAACCGGATTTTATTTATTGCCGCTCGCATTTAATAGTTACGCAATCTTTGTAAAATATTTCAAAAGATTTCTCTCTCACGGATTAAATAGGTGCAACGTTTTGCATATCATTTGCAGAACCAACGAGAAATTTGAAGTTGAAATTGAATTATACTACGAATTCGATCGTAAAAACAAAATTATGCAGCGGACTTGCTGTCTAAGTGGGCTTATTCTGTAGCTCTTAACGACAGTTTATTTGGGTTGCGCAGATATTATACATGGTAAAAAAGGTGCGCAATGACAATATAACGATAACGAAACTGTCTTTAAGAATTACAGAATAGACCCACTGCTATCTTTTTTTTTCTAAATATACAGGGTATTCGGTAATAATCGCCGAAACTCTTGTATATGCGAGTAGAGTGAGTTAAACTGAGTAGAAAAGTATAATTGTATCATTTTGCGAAATTCCCAATACCTACTGAGAAATTAATTGAAAAAGATGGCCAATCTACTCGAGTAGAAGAAGCGCTCGGCGAGAAGTCGAGACGTCCCATTCCCAAGTATCGCGAATTTCGTATAAAATGATAGAAGACTTCTTTACTCGGTTTAACTCACTCTACTTGCATGCATACGAGAGGTTCGGCAATTATTATTGGGCACCTCGTACATCGTGCAAAGTAAAAAAAAATAATACAAATATGTAGCGTAAGAATTTTGTTACATTTTCTTATCCTTCCGGATAAAAAATGTCACTATATTTTATGGCAGAATACATGCGTTGCACTTAGATTTTTTTTAAATTATTGTGCAAAGGAAAAAAATAATACAAATGCAGCGTACGATTTTTTAAAAATTTTCTTATATTTTTTTAAATAAGAGAATCATTATACCTTTACGGCATAACATACAGGATATTGTGTAGACATTGTGTATAATATCAAATCATTATGTGAGAATCATTGCGCAATCACTAACCGAGTTATTGACGTTTTTGTCGCCTTGTTTTTTTCAAAGTAGACGGAGAAAAAAAATTCTACGTTTGCAACAAGTTGATCCGGAAGAAGGATTCATATTATATCGTTATTTTCTGTCGTGCAGTATCGTCATGAAATAGCGCGACACTGTGCTGCAGATATATATATTTTGACAAATTCGACAAATGTCAAGGATTATAGTCGCGTGAATAATTTTATTCCTTATTATACATTACATGTAGCAACATTAATGCATATGCATACAGGCGCGCATAAATATTTATATACAATTATATATGGGCAATTTTTCTCATTTCCTCAAACTTTATTTTTTGTAAAAAGAACAATACAAAAATTATCCTTTTAATTATTTTTTAATTCTTCGTCTTTTTATTTTTTTTGTACGAATATACGAACAAAGATTATACGAGAGAAAGAAAACATAATGTATATACAATATGCATAATTATTGTTGGAGATACGAAGTGGCTCCACTCAAACTAACAGGTCGTGATATTAACGACGCCCCTATCTATTCTATATGAACAATTTTTTTTCTGGAAATTTCTTTGTATTATTTTCGTGATATAAATCGAATTATTAGTTTTTTTTTATTATTTAACTTAAAGAAACGATTAGATCAAAGATAAAAATTATATAGGTATATAATAGTTAGAAATTTATCGGTAAACACATGTTGATGTTCAACAGATAAGGAGAATTGCCGTACCTAATATCGATAAACGTTTCACGTGGTTTCGTCGCTTTGGTGTTGGCGTCGCCAGTTACCTCTGTCGGCGCTTTAACCTCGTTTTCTGTTTTCCGTGAGCGGCGAGCGCTTGTAATGCGTCCGGTTGTATTGTTCGAGCTACCTGAAGAAAGATCGTTGTAAAAGCGGTAAAGATTCGATCGATAATTCGCTCACGATGGTGAAACTGACGCCGGAACTTATAGAGCAGTCGATGCAGTACATAAATCCTGTGCGGGATCGCGAATTGGATCTCCGAGGTTTGTGGAGGAATCGCGCCTGAAATTGCTTTATTGTTCATTTTACGTTCGTTTTATTATTCTCGTTTCGCTGGTATGTTGCAGGATATAAGATACCCACCATCGAGAATCTGGGCGCGACCTTGGTAGGTACACGGCTTCGTCAGGAGGAACAACAAACCTGTATTTATATTCTGTGTCTATAGACAAAAGCATTTACAGTTATCCCTACATCATTACTTTTTACGCAGGATCAATTTGACACGATAGACTTTTCCGATAACGACATACGTAAGCTGGACGGTTTTCCGCTTCTGAAAAGGATAAAGACCCTGTTTTTCAATAACAATCGCATCGTCAGAATTGGCGAAGGCCTGGAACATTGTATACCGAACCTGCAAACCCTGATGTTGACCGGCAACATGATACAAGAACTGGGCGACCTGGAGCCTCTGATACCGCTGAAGAACCTTACGAACTTGTGCCTGCTTCAGAACCCGGTGTCCGCTAAGCCACAGTACAGACAGTACGTCGTTTATAGATTTCCTCAACTTAGACTGCTCGATTTTCGGAAAATCAAGCAGGCCGAACGCGAGTCGGCCACGGAGTACTTTAGGAGCAAGCGTGGCAAGGAGATGGCACGCGAGATAGCTAAAAAGGTGAAGGCACAAACGGCGGGTACATCGGTGGATAAGCCTTTGACCACTCCCGAGGAACGTAACAAAATTCGAGAGGCCATTACGAACGCGTCCTCCTTGGAAGAGGTACAGAGGCTCAGTAAATTGTTGCAGGCTGGCCATATACCTGGCGAGGAACGATTGCAAAATGGTACGTGAGCTTACATGCTTTCTATATATTGCGTGTATGTAAACAATAGTTGCTTTCCATTTACGTCGAAACTCAGATAATTCTCACTTACGACGTCATTCTGTCTTTATTATTCATTAGTTACCAAAAAGGATAGAACGACGTCACAAGTGAGATTTATCTGAGTTTCGATGTAAATGGAAAGCACCTAATATTTCTTAAACATGTCAGCTGCGCTGGCAAACCTAAAAACGAAAACTATCGGTATGGATTCTATTACTTAACATTGTATTTTATATTCCAGGTAGTGGAGCTGCGGAACCTATGGAAGAGGATGACGATTAAATTATGTTTTTTAAGTCCAAAACCAATTCCCTATTGTAAGTATGCAGCTTGACGGAGTAAGGGCGTGACATAACAGCACACGTATGCTGATAAGAAATGTATACTATACACGGATCTACTACTATCTTTAGAGTTAACGGCAGATATTGCATTTTTGTACAAATAAAATATGGAGACTAGCCTGGAAGCGATTTTTATAATTACTCCTCGTTACACTACGCTCTATTTTAATATACCAATATGTTTATTTCAGCAAAGTCAATAAAGAGTTTCTTCAAGCGACTTATCTTGTGTTGTCACTGAATCTTCCCTCCTGTATATGTATATTCTACACGTGCCATAAGTTCGCTGATTGAAAAATAAAAGTTCTATGCCACGTAAATTGGATAAATATGAAACGTATAAATATATCTTTATTCGTAATGTTCAGCTTGCAAAAAATGGTAGAGAAATCTTTGAGATTTCTCAAAATTATAAACCACTAATTTAAAAGGTCTCTTACAAATCTTGTGAGAAATCTAATTTAATGGCTTATGATTTTGAGAAAGTCAACTTGCGGACGTACAATTTCCAAATATTTGCGATTAAATAATTTATGAGATAAATAATTGCTCACAAAGTAGTCTATACGCTTCGGCTCTGTGCGTGCGGTGGTATACACATTACATAAGCTGGATCAGTAGATGGGTAGATGTCAGCGCGACACGACGGTGCGCTCACGGTTTTCTCGCAGTTGCTCGCCCCGCTGGATACAACCTGAGGAAAATAATGGGTAATTGGGTCGCTCTTTATATAACGCATCCCGACACGATGCCCACGCCCGACGGTAAATCGACGTTCGATCCGATGTTCGGATTTCCGAATGGTCGAAAACCTAGAGGCAAGTATATTCGAATCTAACCTCTCATTCGTTTTCACCGCGCAGTATCTTGTTATCAATCGAATGTGTACACGTAATGTGACTGATCGTCCGGAACATTTGCATCGCGCCGGAGTTTCACAGTCGATTGTCACCCGATCTCGACGGATCTTACTGTCCGAGACCGAATAATATAATTATGGAGTTGACGATTTTATTGGTTACTTAATTACATGTGTTGTAATCTGCTTCACATTTACCTCCATTATTAAGACAGTCAAATCTATTGGAAACGGAGTATTTGTTGCTAAGTGTTTGCTACAAATTTTGTTGGCAGAATGCCAGCAGGAACATAACAGAATTTGGTAGTAGAATATGATGGCAGATTGATTGCAAAAATTGAGCACGAAATCTGCTGTCAGATCATGTCGGCAGGTTGTTACTTTTTATATGGCTAATTACGTTTGATTAATTTAACGGATAATTGCTCTACTCTATACTCTACTCGACTGATTTATAGCACGATGTTTTGTTGTTTTATCATCGAGCCATAATTTGGAAAATTAGGGTATATCATATTTCAAATGTCTATGTTGTTTATTAAATATTCGAGAAATGGATATAGCAACAGTGTTTATGATTCAAACTCTAAGTTTAGTCAGACACCAGGAATATCTGCTGAATTTACAGAGATGAAGTTGTCGGAGGAAGACATGATGGCTTTGAAAATCCCTCAGGACAGACGCGATTACTGCGCCCACAAGTATTTGGCGTTACATGAGTGCAAGAGGCGTCATTATCCTTTCATGTTAAAGTGCGCGCATGAAAGACATCAGTATAACGAGTGCCACGTTGAAGAGTAAGTATCCTATATTGTTTGAAATATCTGTATCGTTGTACGCGAATTTTCAAGGTACATTGCTAAGAATATTATATCTGTTACAGTTACACTCTGAGATTGAAGGAATACGAAAGGGAACGTCGTCTCCTCGAGAGAGAAAAGAGGATACGCCAGAAGAGTGAGCAGGCAGCAACAGCGTGAAAGTCCAGAAAATTTCGATAAATTTTGTCCATCGTCGTCGGTAACTTAGGCTGCACATATACAAAAGTGGAATTGTTTCCCGCTACTGTACATAAGCTATATCAATAAAATGTATTTAACAATAAATTTTCTATTTCATAAAATCATAGACAAACGCAATAATAATAATCCTTGCAACAATTTGCATTAGATCGATATGAAATTTACGTTAATTTTATTTCAGATTCTGTATAGAAAATGAGATATTTTACGTACTATTTAAAATACAGCTTTAATAATTTATTTACCAATATGGAAGATTTAATTTTGGAAACAAGCTTCGCATGGGATAATTTTTGTGTCCACTTCGATATCAATTTCTTTTTCGCACGTCGATCAGATAATTAATTTACAGGTGCAGATTGAAAATAATTCACGTTTATCTTTTAATTAATATTTTATTCATCGTTACAAAATGGGAGATACAATATGTACAAGACGGTGCATGCGCGACCGGCGTACGCGAGAGCCGTAACCCTAAGATTATTGTCTCGCGTCGAGAGACTTAATAACTTATCACCCTATCGTACAACTGTGTTAAACCTCGAGAATCGTCGCAAACACCCCTCCTCGGCCGTAATCCGGCGATTGTTCGCGGCGTTCGCGCGGTATCGCCTCGTGCCGCTCCTCGTGGCTGCGCAGGGGCAGAGCTTCGTCGAGGGAATCGATAAAACGGGAAGCGCCGCGCGGACGTGCAACTCCGCGGGTCCTCTCCGACGGCGTCGGACCGTGCGTCCGCGCCGGTTCTATCGCCTCTTCGCGACATTCGTCTCATCTCGCGTCTCGCTATGTTAATCCCGTGGAAGTAGAATAAGTTGTGAAACATCAGCGTGGTCTCGCGGGATATAATTCTCCCTCTCCCTCTCTCCGTTAAAAATCAAACAATAAATATACTTCCATATACATATATAATATACCGCCTCTGTGTGCCTCACAGAATGGTGAGTTTGATAAGACGAATCGAAGCAATAAAATATGATATATTAATATAAAATAATTTAAGATTCTCTCCATATATGATGTATTAGTGCACGATTTCGACGAATTGTAAGTCTCATTTATTCGTAGTTACTTGCCAGTAAGTCGCCAGGGTTTTTCGGGAAGATGGGATTTTTGTATCACGAATGTATCGCTGATATGGATATGTGAATTCGTTCGCACATTTCCAGATATTGCTCGATATAAATTTATTGATAGCAGCCTGTCGTGATCCATACCGCACTGCGGTATATCCGGGAGCCTCCTTCAGCATCGACGAGCATATACATGCATATATATGTTTCCCGATTGCTCCGTTTCTCGAATCGAAAAGCTGCGGCAATACTTCTCGATTACTTTAATTAGAATGCAAAGATAAGCTTATCGGATATATATCTATATTTTTCGTGTTACACCAATTAACTAGCTCTCCAGAATTATTTAGAAATTATAAGAAACAATTTCATGCTTTAAATTTTTATTTCAATGCCTCACGTTAATTCTGAAAATTACGAATATTGAACACGATTGCGTGATTTTCAGGACCGATTAGTCCAACACGACAGAATATTTTTATAACTGTAGCCATGTAATTTTCAAATCATATGTATTATATTATTGCTTCGTTTCGTCTTTGCGTTCCTTCTCGCTTATCGCAATCTCTCAAAATTCCAGGCTTTATATCCTCAAAAAGGAGAAAATTACATTTACCATTTATTTTATTTAACCTAATCCTCATGGCGTTCCTTAACTTCCTTTAGCGAGTTAATTGAGCGATGGAAGCCGATTAAAATATAATAGAAGCAACATTTAAGGCTATGTAATATTGAAGTTAATCCAAGGTGCGCGCGAGACCCGAGATGTCCTGCGGATAATACACGTCCGGGGAGAGTATAACGAATAAGAATTATCTTCCTTACGGAAGCAATCTCCACGCCCCGCACCAGTGAAATATCTGACCTCGATTATCTATCGGGAAGACGCGTTTATGTATCGAGAGTCAGTACAATTTATCGCTGCAAAAGCGACCCAAACAATCACATTTGATCGTTGCCTAAAAGGAATTTCTAATGGATAGTCTTTCCTGGTGTCCACATCGCAGACTTTTCGTTGTATCGCCTTGCCAAACTGATAGCAGATAGCAGCATTAACCCGTTAACCGACTGATCCTGCTTTTTCATTGATCAGTTTTCCTTCTACGATACTTGCAATTCTTTATAATTGTTATTTATATTGTACAAAAATTATAAAGCGTTGCCGACGCAGTTTTTGCTCGGCGCCACGGTTCGCTTTTTTGTTAACATTTTGATAATTCCGTCATTCGCAGAGTAGATAAGAAATTTCGATATTCTCTAGAACGCGCGTATTTAGATATTTATTCCTCTCGCGCTTTGCCAACAATTGACATTTTCGAATATATGAGCTGCTCGATGAGTCCCTCATCTATCGATACATTAACGAGCGTAAAAGTTCACCGGTGTAGAAAGGAGCCCACATTTCGACGCGATATGTGTGTACGTGTGTATTGCGTGTCTCGTTCGTCGCTGGAACGAAGATTTTCCCTTTCGTATGTGTACTATTCAGCCTTGAGTTCCTTCGCGGACTTTCCTCTGCGGTAAGCGGACCTGTAAAAGTCGGAGAAGAGCACGAAGAAAATCGTCGAGTGAAGTAGAAGGAGGGCCGCGACCAGTTTCGGGTAGCCGCAATCGAAGATGAGGGCCTGCGCGCTATGCACGAACACCAGGAAAAACTGCACCTGCAAAATCGATTCAACAATTCAGCACAATTTAGCAATACATTCGGACATTAGAATCTATAAGGTGAGTAAAGCTATCGATTGCAAAAAAGAAAAAAAAAACATTAAATCTGGACACACGAGACTTTAGGACTATTCAAACGTATAAATCTTTATAATTTATATGTATAAAAATTTGACAAGTC